TTGTTCAGGCAGCTCGCTTCATTTCTCACTGTGGAGACCACTAACCCAACAGGAGCAGTAATATGTGGCTGAATGAGAGTTTTTAACTCTTTTGATCTGCAGCTCCCAGCCGTTCTTTTTCACAGCTGAGAAATCATCTTGCTGTGGATGATTGTAGCGTTTATCTAAAGCTCCATTACTCTTGTCAATATCAAGAATCACTCTGAATGTTTCTGTGTTTTTCTTGTGGTACCAGAATACGTAGTTACTACCACACTGGTGAGTGCCTCCACAGCTGAAGGAGACTTCTTCACCGACTCTCCTGGTCAATGATAAATCATCCTGAATCAGCTCGGCTGCCATGGAAACCAGCGCTGCAGAGAGAGGGTCAGACAGGTGAATGTTAGTGTGACGGTGTTTGGTAAAGGTAGAGTTTGTGGGCTCCTGATTGGCCGGAAACACTCACCTGAACACAGGCAGCACAGGGCGGCGGCTGGGAGGAGAAGCATTTTGGAGCTGCGATGTTTCCTCTGGTGAACCCGAGGAGAAGTGACGCTGTGACGCTGCAGAGGACAAACAAGGACGAGCTGAGAGATCAGACGAGGAACACGTGGTTTCTATCAGAGGCCTCAGATCTCCCATCAGCCCCTGATTCTATTCAAAGTTCTGAAAGTCTGCAGGAAGTTAAGAATCTGAATATTTATATAACTTTTTTTATTGCATAATTTGAAACTCTTTTATTTACCTCTGCAGGTGTTTTTTGTAACTTAATTATATATAGATGTTTAATGTCTGTTCTTATTTCTGCTGCTGATGTAAAAGAAGGAGACAAACAGCATGTCTTTGCTCATTTCATGAATTCAGAAAATGTATTTTCAAACTTCTTCAAAAGGAATAACTCTGTTTGCACTGATGAAGTCTGTTTTCATACCTTCAACATTTCTTTAAGAGGTCTTTTCTTCACACTTTGATGTTTCTTATGATGAAAACTTTAAAATATTAACAACAAAAGACACATCTGATATAACATGAGTCTTTAAAGTGTTACCTCAGTGTCACATCTTTAAATAAACTCCTCCTTCATGACTGTTTGTTGGATTTCAAACACGTTTTTTCAGAAGGTGGATCTCTGTGTGTCTGTGTCTAACTTAAAGGAGAAAGAGCACCACCTTATGGTCAGTTTGGGGAACTGCAAAGGTACCTGATGATGCTGGTAGTGGTATTCAGGACAAGGGGAAACCTCTGGTGTTGAAAAATAAAGCAATCCTGCAGTTCCTCGAGGGTCTGCTTGAGGCTGGAAGTCACATACACACCCATTCAAAAGTCTGTTTTTACAGCAGAGATTAACATGTTTACAGTCTGGTTCATGTCTCTATCAGCTGTTACTGGACGGGGGAATTTTATTTATGTTTAGACATGTATTAGTGCTGTCAGCATTAACTACTTCATTGTGAGTAATCTCATGTTTTTGTCCCTTCAGGCTCTCCGTAGATAGTGGTCCTCAGTGTCTCCCTGTAGTCTCAGTGATGTAAAAGAAGGACACTGCTGCATCTTTGAATGTCTCATTTCACTTTAACAAACTCTCAGACAGCTCAGCTGATGAGTCCAAATTCACTCAAACAAAATAATTTGTTGGCTGAACGTAATAAAAGTATGGAAACCATTTCCATCAAATTAAAATGTGTTCTTTAGCATCAAGGAATTTTGTTAAGTCAACATAAAATAATTAGGATGGGTCAGCTGAATGTGTTTGTGTTATTGTTTTTTAATCATGATGGTTCAGGCCTATCTTATTTTAAAATGTTCATTAATGTATTCTACTAGGTGTGGACTAACGTGACTTACTTTTGTTGTTTTAACTTCTTTACTCTGGTTGCGTCCGACTCCTTTTAGTCGTGTTGGTCCAACTTATTTTAACGTGGTAAAAAATGCATGCCAACAAAAGCCATCATTTAAAGCTAAACTCAAATAACCTTTTCTTTAAACCTTTCAAACAATGTATACTTTGAAAGAAATAACTTAAACAGAAGTTTAATAAAATGTTTACAGCCTGGTTGGAGTCAAAGATAAAATATCACAGACCCAACGTGATCATGTTGCAACAGATCTGTATTTGCCAAGTTATAAACAAAGAAGCTTAACAGGAAAATACAACACAGAGTTTCCTCCTTTTAAGTGACAGCAGATTGGACATTTGTGCTATATGTAAAATAAAACCAAGACAATTTAAAGATTCAGTAGATCACAGAGTACTCCATAAAAAAGAAAGATGTTTTTGTAATTGGTCCAGATAATTTACAGACAACGCTTGAACATATCACACTAGTGGGAACAAAGGGGAGACCTCATCTAGTCCATCTGATCAAGCCTGATGTGATGAGAAAAAAGATCATACCTTGTATTGCATCATCAGTTTTTCTGGTTCTTCGTTCACGTAGACAGAAAAACCTCTAAGGATGTAAATAAGGAAGAACAGAAACAGCATTAGGAGCATTATCTTAACCAGCCTCACAGTGAGTGTCACACATCTGATACATCTTCTAACTAGCTTCACAATGAGTGATCATTAAAGCCCTCTCTCATACACACTTACACAATAAAAGGTGATAAAACAAAAATATTAAAAGGAAGAGAGAAATCTTTCCATCAGATGGAGTTCACTGAAAGAAGGATGGATGTTCAGGTTTTGCTGCGTTCCTCAAAGAGCAGGTTTTTTAACAAGAGACTGGGTGTGTCTCAAACAACGAATATAATAATAGTTGAACTTGAGCCTTCTCTTGGTGGTTAATATATTTACTTTGACCGTTACCTCAAACAAAACCACAAAAATGATGCCTTAACTATCCTTAAATCTAAGAGAAGGCTCTCTCCATCAGGTAAAAATCTCTTCTTTGCCCCTCCCCCGTCATGAGCCTTTCCCCCCTGATTCTCTGTAAGTACGGATGAAGTCGTTTATAAGGACAGGATTTTCAAACATGTTCCTGTTTACTAACCTTACAGGGACCATGTTCCTGTTTACCTACCTTACAGGGACCATGTTCCTGTTCACCTACCTTACAGGGACCATGTTCCTGTTTACTAACCTTACAGGGACCATGTTCCTGTTTACTAACCTTACAGGGACAATGTTCCTGTTTACTAACCTTACAGGGACCATGTTCTTATTTACTGCTCGAGCGTAATGGGACAGGTAAACAACATAATTCCATTCAGATTTTATTTTTAAAGTTTTTATCCCAAGAAAAGGATGTCTCCCTCTGCTTTTCCTCTACTCCCATTATGAGCCTGGTTTTCCATGTTTTTCTAGTTCCTTTCTCCATCAAGGATCTTCTCAGACAGGGTTTATGTAAGTTTATGTCCCCAAAAATCGTCTATACCTCTTGATGGACTCTCCACTTGTCCCTATCTCCTTTCATTGGGCTTTTCTTTTAGGCCAGTATGACCCCAAAATGCACCAACCATTTTCCAACATTATGTGGACCATGACTCACTACTCCCATTATCCTTTCTTGGGTCTTCTCAGTAGGAGTTTATTTCCCCAGATAAAGCGCTCTCCCTTGTGGGCAGACTATCTGTACATCCCCATCTACCTGTCATTTACCTTTTTTAATATTTTTTTTGTTTATCAAGCATCTCATGTTGACCTTTGTTTGCATACCAACCTAACTTGGAGAGTTTATCTTGATTTGTTTCCCAGGAGAAGGATCTTTCCTTTGGGGATGGCCCTCATCTTGCCTCTTTAATACCATACATGTTTTCTCTGTGCTTTTACACCACAGGTCACACCTACACATTCAAACACTGATGGTAGAGGCTGCTGTGTAAAGAGTCCATCAGAATTATCCACTCCATACATACACATGCATACGCTGTTGACGAAGCAGAGGGAGCAACTTGGAGTTAAGTGTCTTGCCCGAGAACACATCGGATATGTGGCTGCAGGAGCTGGGGATCGAACCCCAGACCTTCAGTTTGAGAAAACCGACTCTACCAACTGATCCACTATATTGTACAATATTGACTGATTTCAGGAATAAAATCTTTATCCTGACAAATAATGGAAAGCTGAAACTTTGAGATACAAACAGTAGTGATGCAATGTGTTGCTGCTGCCACTAGAGGGCAGCAGCTTTAATCTTTACAGACAGGAGTACAGTCATGTTCACTGTCTGAGTTGATAATATAGGAAACATCATAATAGTTTATCATACAACGATCATATGTATGACTTGTGGTTGTTTCCTGAAAAAAGGTTTTTCATGACAGAACAAACGTGTGTAATGTTGCCAGTTTGTTAGTTTGATCAAACTTTGTTGATTTTGATCTTTTTTTTAAACTTTTAACTGATGTAAAGTGTCTGTAAGTACTTGAAATATCTTTATAAATGAAATGTATTATCATTATTTCTTATTTAACAAGCCAATGAATTAGTTAATGACCCAACAAATGAATATATACATTTTAGCTGCCGACACATTATCACTCAGGTGCGTCTCCTTTACTGAATAAATATACACAAACTGTGAGAACATTGCCTCAAGGTGGGTCGACACTGTTGGTCTTCAGTTCATGTGAAGGGAAGGTTTTTTATGTAACAATAAAGACAAGACAATAAAGTACAGAGTGTGAGAACAGTTTATCAGTGTGTGCAGCAGCAGATATGAATCTGTGGTTATTAGGGTTTAGAAAAACAGTTTACAGCAAATCAACACTTCCTCCCCTGCAGCAGGCAGGCTGTGTGGGTTTCCTGCTCTGCTGCCTCTTCTCTGTTAGCGAAGGGTTTTCAGTTTAATCACACAGCGACAGTTACGACCATCGACTCTGGTTAAAGCATCATTCTAGGAACTTCTCAATATCAGCTTTCTGTCTAACTCTGTTTTATTATTTAACCTGATTGCAGAGAAAAAATAAATAATATATACTTGTATGAAAAGTTAGACAAGGACAAGAAAACATGAAGCTATAATATACAAACTTATTTAACGCTACAAAGTCAAATTACTCATGACTAAAGACGTTGATTGTGTTTTTACATATTTATTGTGAAGCTAAATGAAATCCTTAAAAGCACAGACTTTTATTTAAAAAGAAAAACAAAACACTTCCAGCTCCTTTCATACACCAAAGACACATCTTTTACTCTTTTATTTGATTTAGCTTTATATTTATGCTGGTATGTAACAGTATTTCTACACTTCTTGACAGTAGCAGTACTGCTGTTCATGTGAGTTTTATAAACAATAATGCACCAATAACACCAAGACAAGTTCCTTCTATATACGATACAATCTGATAGATGTTTGTGTTATATATGTAACATTAAGTGGGGTACACACAACAAGATAATCGAGCTGATTTCGGTGCCGATGCTCCACGTCTGACCAAATTCAGCAAAAGCCTGATTATCTGACAGTTCCAAAGATTATCTCACCAGATGTTCCTGTGGTGTAAAGTGTGTAATTTTAACCTCGGTGCCCCAACTTTAAATTGTCAGACATCCTGTTGTGTGGGGAGAACACCGAGGACGGCCGAGCATGGACTCTGTGAATTGTCACTTTGAACAGAATAGCCAAACTTACTGTGCAAGACCACGAGTTCTGATAGTGGAGACTGTTGTTGAATTAATCTGTGAGTGTGTTAGCTGAGTCGGTCATCTCGTTGCTCTCCACACACACTAAAAGAACTGAACTGGTAAATCTGTCATTACTTGTCGTCATGTGTGGCCTCTCACATTAGCCAGGCCTTACTTGGCAATAAAAGTTATTCTGATTCAGTTGCTGATTGTACATGCCCCCAAGCCCGGTGATGTACTTTTAAAAAATAAGCTTCTATCATTTTTATTTTGTTATATATGTTTGAACTACAGGAGTAAGAAGATAAACCATAAGATTGAGGTATTAGACTTCTTAGACAACATTTTGGACTGCTGATAAAAGCTGTAAATGGAATAAATTGATAAAGGTATCCCACCCTGCAGTACGTTCATTTATGTACAAAAAACACAGTGTCATCAGCATAGAGCTTTACTTTTTCACAAACAAGCTTCTTTCATAAAAACTACAAAACACTACGGCACGCAACATCAGAAGACGATCAGTCAGCACATGTTCAGTGGATGGACGGTTTGTCGTTTCTGAAGATCCTCAGCAGAGAGAGTCCACAGCAGTATACCAGACTCTTCAGTATCAGCACCGTGTACAGCAGCGTCAGCAGCTTCACCTTGCACTGAGACTGAAAGGACACTGACAGACAAAAAGACATGGCTTAAGCTTTACAAATATAGAGAGTTTCATCATTTTATCCAGGGATAACTGACCCCATAAAAAATATATTCCTTCTGGCCCCATTACTTCAGTGTTATCTTATCTTTAAGATTTGTTTGGCACAAGGAAGGAGCAGAAAAAACGTTTATTACAGATAGCTGCTAAAAGTTAAGCTGCTTTGATGAACTGTCGGCGTTAATAATACAGAAACATATGAAGAATATTAATGTTTTTGGAATTTAATTTCACATGGACTTTGCTCTCAGGTTAATTTCCAACACTCACAAACCTCAGAGTCTGATGTAATGACACATTGGTTAAATTGAATCAACTCTGTCTTTCCCTGACCTAAAAAGGATTATTCACGCCTTTGTCTTTTCACATTTGTATTATGGCAATGTTCTTTTAAAGCCTGGCTCACACTGTGAGATTTTCCCCCGATTGTATAAAAGTCAGGGTGGCATGTCAGCTCACACTGTACGACTGCTTCGTTTACACGCCCGACCAGACCTTGTGATTTACGTGCTCACACTGTACGACCTGATCGTCGGGCACGGCCAGAGAGCTCACACTGTACGAGTGAAATCGGGTCGAACCGTTGACAATTGTTTATAAAGTTTAATTTGAAAACTCCAAAGGACGGCGGTCTGTGAAAGAGAAGTTAGTGGAAGTTGTTTTAGAATATAGGAAAGTAGACACAATCGTAGCTATATGGATATAAGTTTCAGAAAAGTGCTGCACTGATGATCTGTACTGAAAACAAAAGAAGAAAAAAACGCTGGGTTGCCGCTGGTCGCCATAACTACAGTCCTCCCTTGTCTCTCGTGATTATATCGTAGTCGCACACAACTTCTGCCGGACCCTTTCATGACGTAATCATCAAGACTTTAGATTCTAAACTCCCCTTGGAGGCATCTAAATACAAACTAAATTGGTCCTAATATGGAACCCTGTGGCACACCAGAGGTAATGTAAGTAGGGGGAGAAGAGTAATAATGTACATTGACTGAGTTGGTTTCTTCTTAAAGGTAAGTATAAACAGATTTTGATCTAACTGTCTGTCGGCTCTCTCTCTGGAGGACTGGAGGTCGTAGGAACTGTGACCTCTGTCAAACAGAAGGAGTTAAAAATAAACATCAGTCCTCTGCTCCATCGTCTCCACATGAAGCTGAATCACTGCTGAATGCAGACACCAACCCTTCATTACCTATTTCTGTTTGAACAGTCACTGTGCCCCCCTCATGCTGCACTGAGCAGAGGTATTTATAAGGGTTGTACTTTCTCTGAGGGATCGTCAAGATGGAGGCGCTGCACCCCGACTCCCTCAGCTCCTGCTGCTTCACATCAGCAGGGTTCACATCCTCCAGAGGATCACTCCCTTTCTGTTTTTTCCAGGAGATCTGGACCAGAGGAGGAAACATGGCTGAGGCCACACACAGTAGAGAGCTCTTCTCCTCCAGCTGGGCTCTCGATGCTGCCGGGTACAAGCTCACAACGGGTTTCACCACCTGCTCATCTGAAGACACACACACACGCTGATCACTAAACTTGTTGTCACAGTTTTCAGTCAATCACAAAATGTTTTTTATACTGAGTCTCTAAAACAGTTGAGGTACAAGGGTTTTAAGGTTTTGGCCCGTGATTTAATTTTCTATTTTTGAAACTCACATAAAATAGAAAATTTAAAAAAAGAACAATCCATAAGTTTTTTTCATCAGATAACCAAATGAATGAAAAAATAATGAATCATTTCTAATTTACCTATTTCCCATTCTAGTATATTAGTCAAAACCTCACTAACCGAGATGAAGACATACCCGAGACCAAGTAAAGACCAAGCCCATAAATATCTCTCAAAGTTCACCATATTGGGGTGCTGGTTGCACAGTGGTTAGTGTGCGCATCCCATGTACGGAGCCTATAGTATTCCAATTGGGCGGCCCAGGTTTGAATCCCACCTGTGGCTCCTTTCCTGCATGTCATTCCTCACTCTCTCTCCCTGATTTCTGACTATATCCAATGTTCTATCTCTCCATTAAAGGTACAAAAAAAAGCCCAAAAATAAATATTTAAAAAAAAACAAGAAAAAAAAGTCATCTTGTGTGTCTCTCAATTAGACCGTAACACCGGGAAGGTTGCGTCCGTAACCGGGGGATAAAAATCAAACTACAAATTAATTAAAGTTATTTGTTCCTTTAGAAAGAGGCGTTTCCTTCTAATTACAGTAATGAAGTGGAAAAATAGCCGATCAGTGGTGGTCTTGATTTAAAATCCAGAGTCCACCCAGACTGAGATCGAGACAAGACCGAGTAAAAACGCTTTCAACCCAGAGACCTTCAAAAAGTGGTCTAAAAACCAAGATGGATATTGAGTACTACAACACTGATACACAGATTAACAGTAATTTCTAATCACTCTTTTAAATATAAATGAAACATATTGGAATATTTTATTCAGTATCTTCTTTTGTTAGAGTTTTATTTTAAATCGTCCTGGAAGTGTCAAATTAACCATCATGAATAATGCTATTCTTATTTTTTTACCATTTACAGATTATTAATTACGTAGCCCAAATGTTCAAAACGGTCGATTAGATAGAATCCAAAGAACGTGTCGATCAAAAGAACAAAACAATGAAAGAAAATCAGATAAATTCAGGTGGTCATGTTTAGATTTAATCTGCATTAATCCTCCAGTTTGTGACTTTGAATGAGGATTGAGATGACTTTGATTAAAATAATGAGGATTATTCTGCAGCAGACGACGGATTACAGGAACTCAATTTGAGAAAACTTTTAAATAGAGGGAGAAAAACTATCTTTTAAATAATTTTGGTTCCAGTTCTGACTCTTTCTTTCGTTTATATATTTTGCTTGTTAATTCTCTGCAGTGACAGGAGACGAAGACGACATTATGGATGAGGCAAAAACGACTGTCATGCAACTACACTTTGATTCACCTCTTTGTCAGTGATGAGTTGTTTCTGGATGTTTTTTCTCAAGATAACGAGTTAATTTCTTCACTGATTTCTTGACAAAAAAGACAGAATATCAACTTGTCATCACAGGAAATTAACTGTCATTCTCTCAAGATAAATAAGTGATAAGATAAATAAACAGAATGCCGTGTGTCCACCTAGTGCTGTCTGTGTGCTAGGGAGTGTTTGTATGAAGCAATGTGCTGCTGAGTAACTGAGAGAATCAAAATCTGTAGATCTGTAAAATGCACGATGATGCATATGCAGCGTGATTAAACCTTTTGAAGTAATTATGGATATTTTTAATGTAACAAGAGTTGCATGGCTGCAAGAACTGTTTACTGAAAATGAGAAATATACAGCATATATAAATAAATATTTATATAAATATATATAAACTCTGAAGCTGCAGACATTAATGTAAAGAACTGAAGAAATGAATGTTTATTCTTACCTGTGACAAACAGTTTAGTCCCAGAGCCGAAGATGAGGTAACTTACCACAGTGAAACAGACTGATACAAAAACCTGTCTGCTGCTGAAGGACTCCAGATTATGAACCAGGATCATATTTCAGCCACATGATGAGTTTCTCTGAAGTCCACATCAACATGACTTTCTCTGATGTCTTTAGACACACTAGCAGAGTTTCTCTGTGGACATCAATGTCTGTCAGTCCAATCGTTTTGTCCACTTGGGTTTGAATGTTGCACAGACATTCTTGGTACTCAGAGGATTCACCTCGTTTATTCAGATCACTGCAAAGGTGTTTCACTGTAAATGACCATTTCATTATTAATGTTCAAAATCAAAAGTTTATCTTTTGTTGAAGCAATTTAACCCAGACTTCTTCTCTCCAGCATTGTTTTCTTTCTCTCCTTTAAAGGTCACATATCCTCCTCCTCTTCAACCACTTTAAATAAGTCTCAGAGCTCCTCAAAACATGTGTGAGAAGTTTGAGCACACATTTTCTGAAAATCGGAGCAGACAAAAGTTGAGTATTTCTTTTAGTCATAAAAAATAAACACATTTTTAGTAACACCAATGTGTCTCCCTTTTTTCCTCAGTGCAGGCAAAAATATACTCATAGCAAAAACTAAAAGTAATTAACAACAAAAAGACCAAATAAAGAATTATCTTAAGGCAAATTGTTGCCCACAAAGGAAGTATTTTGTACAGGAGATAAAGAAAGTGTTTCCATGGCTTTGTTCAATCTCAGCGTTTAGCTATGCTGTGACATCATTAAAGATCGTCTTTTAAACTTGGTTCAGGAACAAAGACCACGCCTCAAACACAACCCATTTCCATTTCATACATACTTAAGCCTTCATCACTCTATTCTCTGACGCTGGTTTCACATCCCGCCCCAGGAACCACGAGGGTCCATACAGAGAGCAACAAAGAGACGACCCCCGACCCAGAGTCTCGACCCCTCTGGTCTCATCACGTCGTTTCTACATCGCTGACACCAGTCCATCGTCCTTCTTTCATTCACCTCCCGACCCTTACCCCCCTTCCACCCTCAAGGCCCTGACACACCAAGGAGACCGTCGTCCGTCTCTCTAGTTTTTTGTGCAGTGTGGCTCCGTCGCTACATGTCGGCCCCCACCTGCCTTTTTTCAGACGATTCCACATGTTGAATCGGCGGTCGGTGAGAGGAAGCTCTCTGATTGGTTGTTGGGAGGTTTCATTTCTCTCCAGCTCTCCTCTCAGGTTCAGGAAAGCCCCTTGAGCATGTCTCTGTAGTATCCATGCTTTCACCCATTAGTGAGCTTTCTCCTGATCTGTCTCCTCCGCCTCTTCTTTTCTTTTTCCACTGAAAGACCAAGAGCTGACAACGCCAGCGCCATTTTCATCTTTTAAGGTGACGTGAGACGACGCCACAGGCGACCTTCGTCCCCACTAGTTCTTTGCCGTCTGCTTGGTGTGTCAGGGTCTTTACCTTCATCCATTCATCTATCCAACCCTTCATGCATAATACAACAAACTATTCTAAATCAGTAACTTTCTTGGTGTGGTCTTTGTTAGTGAAGTGTGCATAAGTATAGAGACCAGCTGCACATCTATTTAACCTTTCTGATCTAGATTATGTTTTTAGATGGTTCTGATCTTAATGATTTTTCTCTGCATCTCATCTCATGTTCTTTCGTTTCTGTTTTCCTCCGCCTTTCTAACAATAACGATGTTATTCTAAAATGAAGGCGTCCCGTCAGCAGTGATAGAATAAATCCCTCAGTGTTTGTGACTCTGGCTGAGATGGAGGTGAAACATGTGAACCTGGGCTGTGGTTCACTGCTCTCTTCCTGTAACTAACTCTGAGTGACATCTGTTCATGTGTTGGTTTTTGTTCAGGCAGCTCGCTTCATTTCTCACTGTGGAGACCACTAACCCAACAGGAGCAGTAATATGTGGCTGAATGAAAGTCTTTAACTCTCTTGATCTGCAGCTCCCAGCCGTTCTTTTTCACAGCTGAGAAATCATCTTTCTGTGGATGATTGTAGCGTTTATCTAAAGCTCCATTACTCTTGTCAATATCAAGAATCACTCTGAATGTTTCTGTGTTTTTCTTGTGGTACCAGAATACGTAGTTACTGGAACACTGGTGAGTGCCTCCACAGCTGAAGGAGACTTCTTCACCGACTCTCCTGGTCAATGATAAATCATCCTGAATCAGCTCGGCTGCCATGGAAACCAGCGCTGCAGAGAGAGGGTCAGACAGGTGAATGTTAGTGTGACGGTGTTTGGTAAAGGTAGAGTTTGTGGGCTCCTGATTGGCCGGAAACACTCACCTGAACACAGGCAGCACAGGGCGGCGGCTGGGAGGAGAAGCATTTTGGAGCTGCGATGTTTCCTCTGGTGAACCCGAGGAGAAGTGACGCTGTGACGCTGCAGAGGACAAACAAGGACGAGCTGAGAGATCAGACGAGGAACACGTGGTTTCTATCAGAGGCCTCAGATCTCCCATCAGCCCCTGATTCTATTCAAAGTTCTGAAAGTCTGCAGGAAGTTAAGAATCTGAATATTTATATAACTTTTTTTATTGCATAATTTGAAACTCTTTTATTTACCTCTGCAGGTGTTTTTTGTAACTTAATTATATATAGATGTTTAATGTCTGTTCTTATTTCTGCTGCTGATGTAAAAGAAGGAGACAAACAGCATGTCTTTGCTCATTTCATGAATTCAGAAAATGTATTTTCAAACTTCTTCAAAAGGAATAACTCTGTTTGCACTGATGAAGTCTGTTTTCATACCTTCAACATTTCTTTAAGAGGTCTTTTTCTTCACTTTGATGTTTCTTATGATGAAAACTTTAAAATATTAACAACAAAAGACACATCTGATATAACATGAGTCTTTAAAGTGTTACCTCAGTGTCACATCTTTAAATAAACTCCTCCTTCATGACTGTTTGTTGGATTTCAAACACGTTTTTTCAGAAGGTGGATCTCTGTGTGTCTGTGTCTAACTTAAAGGAGAAAGAGCACCACCTTATGGTCAGTTTGGGGAACTGCAAAGGTACCTTGATGATGCTGGTAGTGGTATTCAGGACAAGGGGAAACCTCTGGTGTTGAAAAATAAAGCAATCCTGCAGTTCCTCGAGGGTCTGCTTGAGGCTGGAAGTCACATACACACCCATTCAAAAGTCTGTTTTTACAGCAGAGATTAACATGTTTACAGTCTGGTTCATGTCTCTATCAGCTGTTACTGGACGGGGGAATTTTATTTATGTTTAGACATGTATTAGTGCTGTCAGCATTAACTACTTCATTGTGATTAATCTCATGTTATTTTGTCCCTTCAGGCTCTCCGTAGATAGTGGTCCTCAGTGTCTCCCTGTAGTCTCAGTGATGTAAAAGAAGGACACTGCTGCATCTTTGAATGTCTCATTTCACTTTAACAAACTCTCAGACAGATCAGCTGACGAGTCCAAATTCACTCAAACAAAATAATTTGTTGGCTGAACGTAATAAAAGTATGGAAACCATTTCCATCAAATTAAAATGTGTTCTTTTAGCATCAAGGAATTTTGTTAAGTCAACATAAAATAATTAGGATGGGTCAGCTGAATGTGTTTGTGTTATTATTTTTTATTCATGTTGGTTCAGGCCTATCTTATTTTAAAATGTTCATTAATGTATTCTACTAGGTGTGGACTAACGTGACTTACTCAAGTTGTTTTAACTTCTTTACTCTGGTTGCGTCCGACTCCTTTTAGTCGTGTTGGTCCAACTTATTTTAACGTGGTAAAAAATGCATGCCAACAAAAGCCATCATTTAAAGCTAAACTCAAATAACCTTTTCTTTAAACCTTTCAAACAATGTATACTTTGAAACAAATAACTTAAACAGAAGTTTAATAAAATGTTTACAGCCTGGTTGGAGTCAAAGATAAAATATCACAGACCCAACGTGATCATGTTGCAACAGATCTGTATTTGCCAAGTTATAAACAAAGAAGCTTAACAGGAAAATACAACACAGTTTCCTCCTTTTAAGTGACAGCAGATTGGACATTTGTGCTATATGTAAAATAAAACCAAGACAATTTAAAGATTCAGTAGGTCACAGAGTACTCCATAAAAAAGAAAGATGTTTTTTGTAATTGGTCCAGATAATTTCACAGACAACGCTTGAACATATCACACTAGTGGGAACAAAGGGGAGACCTCATCTAGTCCATCTGATCAAGCCTGATGTGATGAGAAAAAAGATCATACCTTGTATTGCATCATCAGTTTTTCTGGTTCTTCGTTCACGTAGACAGAAAAACCTCTAAGGATGTAAATAAGGAAGAACAGAAACAGCATTAGGAGCATTATCTTAACCAACCATCACAGTGAGTGTCACACATCTGATACATCTTCTAACTAGCTTCACAATGAGTGATCATTAAAGCCCTCTCTCATACACACTTACACAATAAAAGGTAATAAAAAACAAAAATATTAAAAGGAAGAGAGAAATCTTTCCATCAGATGGAGTTCACTGAAAGAAGGATGGATGTTCAGGTTTTGCTGCGTTCCTCACAGAGCAGGTTTTTTAACAAGAGACCGGGTGTGTCTCAAACAAAGAATATTAATAATAGTTGAACTTGAGCCTTCTCTTGGTGGTTAATATATTTACTTTGACCGTTACCTCAAACAAAACCACAAAAATGATGCCTTAACTATCCCTTAAATCTAAGAGAAGGCTCTCTCCATCAGGTAAAAATCTCTTCTTTGCCCCTCCCCCCATCAGGAGCCTTTCCCCCCCTGATTCTCTGTAAGTACGGATGAAGGTCGTTTATAAGGACAGGATTTATCAAACAGGGTTCATCCAAAGAGATACCTTTCATCAGAGTTCCTGTTCACCTACCTTACAGGGACCATGTTCCTGTTTACTAACCTTACAAGGACCATGTTCCTGTTTACTAACCTTATAGGGACCATGTTCCTGTTTACCTACCTTACAGGGACCATGTTCCTGTTTACTAACCTTACAAGGACCATGTTCCTGTTTACTAACCTTACAGGGACCATGTTCCTGTTTACTAACCTTACAAGGACCATGTTCCTGTTTACCTACCTTACAGGGACCATGTTCCTGTTTACTAACCTTACAAGGACCATGTTCCTGTTTACTAACCTTACAGGGACCATGTTCCTGTTTACTAACCTTACAAGGACCATGTTCCTGTTTACTAACCTTACAGGGACCATGTTCCTGTTTACTAACCTTACAAGGACCATGTTCCTGTTTACCTACCTTACAGGGACCATGTTCCTGTTTACTAACCTTACAAGGACCATGTTCCTGTTTACTAACCTTATAGGGACCATGTTCCTGTTTACTAACCTTACAGGGACCGTGTTCCTGTTTACTAACCTTATAGGGACCATGTTCCTGTTTACTAACCTTATAGGGACCGTGTTCCTGTTTACTAACCTTACAGGGACCATGTTCCTGTTCACCTACCTTACAGGGACCATGTTCTTTTTTACTGCTCGAGAATAATGGGACAGGTAAACAACATAATTCTATTCAGATTTTATTTTTAAAGTGTTTATCCCAAGAAAAGGGTGTCTCCCTCTACTTTTCCTCTACTCCCATTATGAGCCTGGTTTTCCATGTTTTTCTAGTTCCTTTCTCCATCAAGGATCTTCTCAGACAGGGTTTATGTAAGTTTATGTCCCCATAAATCGTCTATACCTCTTGGGGGACTCTCCACTTGTCCCTATCTCCTTTCATTGGGATTCTCTTTTAGCCCAGTATGACCCCAAAATGCACCAACCATTTCCTAACATTATGTGGACCATGGCTCACTACTCCCATTATCCTTTCTTGGGTCTTCTCAGTAGGAGTTTATTTCCCCAGAGAAAGCGCTCTCCCTTGTGGGCAGACTATCTGCACATCCCCATCTACCTATTATTTACCCTTTTTAAATATTGTTTTTGTTAATCAAGCATCTCATGTTGACCTTTGTTTGCATACCAACCTAACTTGGAGAGTTTATCTAGATTTGTTTCCCAGGGGAAGGATCTTTCCATTGGGGATGGCCCTCATCTTGCCTACCTCTTTAATTCCATACATGTTTTCTCTGTGCTTTTACACCACAGTTCACACCTTCACATTCAAACATTGATGGTAGAGGCTGCTGTGTAAAGAGTCTATCAGAATTAACCACTCCATTCATACACATGCATACACTGTTGACGAAGCAGAGGGAGCAACCTGGAGTTAAGTGTCTTGCCCGAGGACACATCGGACATGTGGCTGCAGGAGCTGGGGATCGAACCCCAGACCTTCAGTTTGAGACAACCGACTCTACCAACTGATCCACTATATTGTACAATATTGACTGATTTCAGGAATAAAATCTTTATCCTGACAAATAATGGAAAGCTGAAACTTTGAGACACAAACAGTAGTGACGCAATGTGTTGCTGCAGCCACTAGAGGGCAGCAGCTTTAATCTTTACAGACAGGAGTACAGTCATGTTCACTGTCTGAGCTGATAATATAGGAAACATCATAATAGTTTATCATATCACGATCATATGTATGACTTGTGGTTGTGTCCTGAAAAAAGTTTTTTCATGACAGAACAAACGTGTGTAATGTTGCCAGTTTGTTAGTTTGATCAAACTTTGTTGATTTTGATCTTTCTTTTTTAACTTTTAACTGATGTAAAGTGTCTGTAAGTACTTGAAAGCTCTTTATAAATGAAAAGAATTATCATTATTTGTTATTTAACAAGCCAATGAATTACTTAATGACCCAACAAATGAATATATACATTTTAGCTGCCGACACATTATCACTCAGGTGCGTCTCCTTTACTGAATAAATATACACAAACTGTGAGAACGTTGCCTCAAGGTGGGTCGACACTGTTGGTCTTCGGTTCATGTGAAGGGAAGGTTTTTTATGTAACAATACAAAAGACAACAAAGTACAGAGTGTGAGAACAGTTCATCAGTGTGTGCAGCAGCAGATATGAAGCTGTGGTTATTAGGGCTTAGAAAAACAGTTTACAGCAAATCAACACTTCCTCCCCTGCAGCAGGCAGGCTGTGTGGGTTTCCTGCTCTGCTGCCTCTTCTCTGTTAGCGAAAGGTTTTCAGTTTAATCACACAGCGACAGTTACGACCATCGACTCTGGTTAAAGCATCATTCCAGGAACGTCAGTTTGATTTTAATGCTCAGAACTCTCAATATCAGCTTTCTGTCTAACTCTGTTTTACTATTTAACCTCAATGCAGGGAAAAAATTAATAATATATACTTGTATAAGTTAGACAAGAACAAGAAAACATGAAGCTATAATATATATGTTTATTTAAAGCTACTTATAACAAAGTCAAATTACTCATGACCAAAGACGCTGATCGTGTTTTTACATATTTATTGTGAAGCAAAATGAAATCCTTAAAAACACAGACTTTTATTTAAAAAGAAAAAGAAACACT